AGGCACGCCGCTGCCAGACAGGCCTGCGGGAGACAGCCGGGGCAGCAGGAGCCCGGCCACGGGTGGATGCCCATCGCAGGCATTCTGGGCTCAGATTGCAGTAGCGGCCCTCGCTGGGGATCTCGGCAAGAACCCCGATGTGACAGGCCACGGCGATGCCCTTCGCCGAGCCCCCGGGATGCTGCAGGGCTTGGCTATACCATCGGAGGACACAGGAGCTCGCCTGCCACTGCTGTCATGGCAATACACTTCCCCAGCCCTAAATCCCCTTTGCAAGCTCTCTCTTCGTGGTGAAACCCGCCCCGGACTCGCAGGCGGCATCTTCCCTTGTTTTTTCTTGTTTTTCAAGGCTAGCTTGAAGCTTTTCCTTCCTTTTCCCGGGGTTCCTGCCCGCTGATGCCAATATGTACCTGTTTGTTCTTCTCCTGCCCTTTGCACTGAAATGCTGCTTGGGCATTTGTCAGAGGAAATTACTTAAGCCCCGGTTGAGTTCATGCCTGTAGGAGGGGGAGCAATGGGAGAACCCAAACCCTTAACCCCAAACCCCTTTGCTGGCTCCCTGACCCGCTCTATCCGAGCCGGCAGCCGCCCAGAGCCGCGGCCCCACGCGGGGACGTCGGGGGCTCCGCTCCCGCTGCGCCCGTCCTGTTGCTGCCCTGGAGCCTCTGCAGAGTTTCTGCCTCCAGAGCGGGCAGCTGCCGACAAGCAAGTCTGGAGAGTGGCAAAGCTGGGCCCCCAAACCCAGAGGATCTTCACAGCCTGAGCAAAGAGCCCTCAAAAGGTCAACTGAGGCTGTTTCCAAGTTAGTTGTTAGAGAACTGGAAGGGCGGCTTGTTATAAAACTCTACCATACATTTTTCTGCTGTCAGGAAACCCCCTTTTTTCTATGTCTAAGATGAATGTTAAAGCTGAACCCCAAAGGACTTTGTTGTTGTTTTCATTGCTGTTGCTGCTCCACCCTCCCCCCAGTTAAATCTCTGCTTCCACGAAATGGCCAAAGGCAGGAGGTTTTGCAGGACGGGCGAGTGGCAGAGTGCTCCCCGCCTCTCCCGGTAAACTGATCCAGGATGGCCGAGGTCCCACCGACCCGGAGGAGCCGACGGGGTGGCCTGGGGCATCACCCTCTGTGCCCACCCCAGCGGCTGGGGAGGGGGAAAGTCACAGGCGGGAGGTCTCAGTCACCGGTCCTCCCCGAAGAAGGAACCCAGCGGATTGCCAGCCAAAAATAACAGAAATAAAATAATTTGCCATGCTCCCAGAGAGCGCTTTCGCAGAAGGGTGAAGGGTCAGTCAAAACTCAGGGGTTGCTGCCTTGCTTTACACAGTGCTCTGGATCCAGCAAGAGCCAGGATTTTGACTTCACTATAGTTTTACCCCAAAGCCACCGGTTCCCATGTCCCCAGGTCCCACACACCACCCGGACAGGCCAGGGGGCTGCGCAGGGGACTCGCCCCACAGCTCGTGGATTGGCACAGCCCCAGCTTGGCCCTGGTGAGGCAGCGGGCCGGTGGCTCCTGCACAGCATGCACAGCTGGATTTAAGATGTTCGATCCCTGCGAAAAGTTACAGGTGTCCTGAAACTCCCGGGCGCGGTGGGAGAGCTGGCCGGTGGAGTTATTTACCGCAAACAGTGACCACGGCTCAATGCTACCGTTGCATGGCTGTAAGGATTCGGGCCTTTCTGCAGGTCACCCCTCCCTGTGCTGCGTGGGGCAACCCGTGGCGAA